AAAATATTAGATGAGGCACACCCGTCAGGCGCAACTCCCGACCTCCCCACATTTCTAAACACTATTTTAGCCTCGCGCACCAGTTCGTTCCACCACTCATCGTCGACCAGGGCACAAACATGCGCCCTGGTGGAACGATGCGTGTCAGCGCGCATTAGTCCTGCGACGCCGGACTATGCGTGCCTTTCGTAATTGCATTTGCAGAGCTCATGAAGAGGAGTTTCGCAGGGCTAAACATCAAGCCGATATAATCATTAAACGCGCAAAACAGGAAAGCTGGGAGCAATTTTCAAATACGTTCAACGCTTTACCCCTCTTTCTAAAATATGGCCACTGATTCGGTGTTTCACAAACAAACGCACGCCACATTATAAAACTCCGCACCTCGTAGTCATCAACCAACACTACAGCATCCCATTTGAAGTCGCCACAAAATTTGCCACACACTTCGCCCGTGTATCATCATCCCAGCAGTATTCCCAACAGATCACTAGCACACTTAATGCCACACTGCTCGCACTCAACTTCACGTCTGCCAACACTGGGACATTCAACGTACTCTTCACACCCTATGAATTGGACCTCGCGATCAGTAAGTGCGGAAACACCTCTGTCGGTCCAGATCAGTTAGCCTACCCCTTCTTTAGAAGTCTTACTAGGTCAGGACTCACCAACCTTCTGTCGGCTTTCAACGATGTGTGGGTTCACGGCTCCTTCCCTCCCTCATGGCGCTCTAGCACACTTATCCCTATACTTAAACCTTCTAAGCCTCCCTCTGACCCTTTGAGCTATCGCCTTATCTCTATTACTAGCTGTGCTTCTAAAATATTCGAACGAATGGTCAACGGACGTATCAGGGTGTTCCTTGAGTCAAATCACCTTCTTTCACCTTTTCAGAACGGCTTTCGCCCGGCCGCTCCACGGCGGACAGCCTGGTCCACATTACAGATCCAATTCAGCTCGGAGTCCGACCAAATCTACTACGTTAGCGTTATTCGTGGATTTAAAGGCGCTTTCGGCAGGGTGAATAAAAGTGTCCCCTCATAAACTACATGAAATCGGAGTTCGTGGCGGCTCGCCGCTTTCTTTAAAAAACTTCTTAACTGATAGGACTGTTTCTCAGTGCGTTGCGGAAATACTTATTCTCTTCCGACGACGCAGGATCATGGTCTTCCTCAGGGCAGTGTCTTATCTCCAAACCCTCTCCTTGTGATGATAGATGGTTGTTTTCAATAATATTAATAATATTCTCCACATTGTCAGTGTTCTTTATACGCGGACGAACTAGCCGTGCGGCATACGCATGCTAATGTCGATCGCGCACTGCATTAATATACAATTAGCTGTAAATGATATTCACGCCTGGTGTGCACGGTGGGGACTGCAGATTTCCCCCACAAAGTCAGGTTGTAATTATCTTCTCTAGGCGAAATAAAGTTCAACCTCCCACCCCCCTGAATCTTAATGGTGTGAAATAATCCCTCTAGTCGACAGTTTTAAATAACTCGGAATAACATTACATCGTCGTCGTACTTTCAATGCCCATTTTGCTGACCTTAAGCAACGATGCAGCCAGACGATTGAACATAATGAAATGCATAGCAGGATGGGAGTGGGGCGCCGACAGACGCACTATCCTCCGCCTCTATACCTCCCTGATACGCCCGATCTTGGACTATAATGGCTTTCTTTTTTATGACATTTCTTCCAAAAAGTCGAAACCCTGGAGACCATCCAAAACGCAGCCCTCCGCATAGTGACTGGTGCACTTCGCACCTCCCGGTCCCAAATCTGCTCGCGGACACGAATATCCCCTCCTTATCACACCGACGAAAATTACAACTTCTCAGGTTTTGCAGCGCCACAGGCCACGTTGGTAACCCAACATACAACGCCCTCGCACACCCCGCCCCAACCGCACACTTACCAACGCGGAACTCCAGCATCCAACCATCAGCACTCGTGTTATTCGAGCGCAGCGAGCGCTTAATCTCCCGACATTCCCTGCAACCCAACTCCCAGTCCCGACCCTTTTGGGCGACCATACCTCGTAATCTTTCTGTTAAAACACAAAAAACGAAACATGTCAGAAACCGAAGTGCATGCACCCTTCGCTGGTTCAAAGGAGAATATGACCAGCACACCTTTATTTATACTGACGGCTCCCGACGCGATGGTCGCACAGGAGCTGCCTTCGTACATCATAATTACCACAAATCAAACCGCCTGTCAAATTACAATACTGTGTATACTGAATAACAGCAATCCTGGCAGCCCTGCTCCATCAAGCAAGGTCATCTTCAAAGGGCATTGCACCGACTCTCATTCGTCCTTACAAGCTCTCATCACTCTCCATAATTCATCCCCCCAACTTTAAACGGCATACGACGAACGCTCTGCTCCCTTCCTCAACATACTCATAATTTCTCGGATACCTGGACACGCAAATATTCGTGGAAACAGCACTGCTGACGAGGAAGCAAAACGAAGTCTCATGCTTCCGGAACGTAATCATCTTCATTGTCCCGTTTCTGATATTCCAGCAACTATCAATTACCTCCGTCTCTTTCTCCAATCCGAATGGGATCAGCGCTCATCACCACCTTCACCCAATCAAACCCATACTTCAGCACTGGCCAATCAATCAAGATAATCGCCTGAAGGAAGTGCTGCTTGCCAGACTGCGTATCGGTCACACCAAAATCACCCACTGCCACCTTTTCGAACTCACTCCACCACTGTGCCATCGCTGCGGCATCCCTTTCAAATAAATCACTTCCTCCTCGTGTGTCCGGTATATCAACGATCAAGACAGCCGCTCATCAATTACACCAACGCTTGCCGGCTTCCACCAATCTCAATTCTCTCCTCGGTGATTCTTATCCTGATTTGATCGTTCTCTCTTTGAGTTTTTACACAGTACAGGATCAGATATCTTCATTTGAATAAAGGGTTTTTCCTGCATAATTTGGCAAAGATTGCAGGTTTTCCCTATTGGCTAGGAGTCCTGGTTTTTCTTAGAACCTTCTAGGACTCAATAACATCACACAACACCACAAGGTCGTGCCGGGCAGCGGAGCCCGGGGCTGATCTCCCCGTCGCTGCGGTGGAGCGGCCCGGCATCCATCCACCGCACAGGTCGTCGACAAGTCAGCTGAGCCAAGGCCATCGCTGACACGGAACACCCCACACAGGGCACACGGCAGCCCAGGGTAAGGCGGAAGGGCTGGCGAGGAGGCTCAATTGTTCAAACGTATTGAATGCGTGCTATGTCGTCATGAAATAAATATGTGTTGCTGCGGTCTGATTTACTTGCTAAGATCTTGCTGGACGAGAATGAGCCAGGTTAACGTAACGTCACTTACGAATACCCTCTCCCTTGCTTTGCGCGGGGCAGCATAAGCAGGTTGAACGTAATCGTTGCCTGGCCTTGTTCTGGAAGTAAATTTCCTTCTCCCCTCGGAGGTGACTGTAGGTCCGTCGAGGGAAAGAGGCCTCGCATTGGCCCAACGAAAAAGAAACTGCGATGCTCAGCCATACAGTTCAAGTTTTGACTGCGTTCTTTGTGTCCCATGTTGACTCATGTGAAGTGTTGAATTTTGAGTGTGCTTGCATTACACGTATTAAAATGCATACCCATGTACTGACCATCGAGCATACTGTAGTCTATGTTGTGCTTGCCTTAACCGAAATCTAGTGAAACCATTTTCTTCTTCCTTGCGTTTAGAAGGGTAATAAGGTTTTCTGTTTATTTGTATTTATAGTTAGGTCATGCCATTTTGATTGAGTAGATTTCTGGGATTAGAGTCTAAGCTGAGGAGATTATTTGTGTTTCCTAACACACCATATATTCTTGAAAATCCTGCTTCACTGCATGTTTTTGTGTTCAAATTTTAATGCTGCGTTCTCAGTATCACCTGCCCACTCTGACTTCATTTAACCCTGAATGGATTGCAAGCATCCCAGCAAGGGACAAATCACATTAACACGGCTGACATTGCGGTGTGTGGTATATTAACGTAGTATAGCCATGCTATGCTGTGTGAATGGTGATATGTAGGATGGCTCCTTTTCCATCCATTTATCATATCTATTCATGTTCACATCCACACTTCCTTGCCTGGTGTCCAAACTGGGCTTTTGAAGATATTTAAGATCACTGTTTTACAATTTCAGATCATGCATGTATTTCCTCCTTCCACATTTTGCAAGCTGCAATGGCTTCACTGTTATGGCTTTTCTTGCAAGATTGTCAGTTGTGTGTGCAACTTGAGCCAACTTTCCGACAAGAAGCTCCGAACAGGTGCAAAGCTGCTGCAATTTTGGAAGTCACAGTTATTCAGATCGAATGTTTCAGAGCCAGCTGAATCAGTGCAGTATATCATGAGTGCTGTACTCAAATGTGCTAGGGTAAGTATGTTAATTATATACTGGTGCTTATGTTGTCAGTATATCTACATGAAAATGAACTTGGATATTTTTGCACATGGCAGCTCAGTTTTCAGCTTTGATCCAAACATAAGATGTGAAGACTGGGCTAGCAAGACCCCTAAAAGCATATTTTTAAAGCTGTTGTAGTTAATGCTTGGCATCCCTTTATGTTGTCTCATGGATTTAAAACTGACATTGTTTTTGAGCTATCTGAGTGTTTTAATGTGTTTGAAGAAATGCTGAAAAGATGTTAGGCACCTTTTTGAGAATTTTCATTTTTGACTCATCTCTTTTTTTTATTAAGTTCTATTTGTGTCATTTTAGTAAATGGTGTATTTCAGGGCACCAAACTGGGTTGATTTGTTCTTCTTAGGCAGCATGTTTATGACAAGCTCTGGGGTGTGCAACTGTGCTTTTTTGCACTTAAATAACATTCTGCATTGTTTTCAGGCAGCATTCTGTCTGAAAGGAACTGGGATGTTGCCCTGGCGATGACAGTTTGTGAACATGTGCCATATATTCCGTAAACCAGGCATCACTTGATGACATATTGCTTACTTGTAGGCGATTTGGCTCGCCTGGCCGAAACAGAGCTGATGCAGGACAACGTAAAAACCTCGAGCGTTTCTGTCTCTGTCGTCTTCACAAGTAAGGTGACAAGCAGATTGTGTGCCCAGTTAAAGAGCAAAATGGCATAGGCACATAGCTACCCATAATCTGCAATGAACGGCGCAAAGCTACCAGTCGGTCCCCATCTCTAAAATGTCTGTGGTTATGCTCCGTTCCTTGTGACCCCTTTTATGTTGCGTTGTTCTGGTGTGTATTTTCCTGCAGTGTTGGAGGAACTGTAGCTAAGTAGTCTCGGTTTTCACACGTGGTTTTGAGAGAGCTTAACAAATTAGATGACTTCAGGCACAGGTACAGGGCGCTAGACGAAACGACCCTTTGGTAGCCCGTGTCAAGGGCCGCTCGCTCCTCGCCACAGGATGCCGGTGCAGTACATCATCGGCGAGTGGGACTTCTGCGACGTGACGCTGAAGCTGCGGCCGCCCGTCTTCATCCCGCGGCCGGAGACGGAGCAGCTGGCCCAGCTGGCGGCCGAGCGGCTGCGGCAGCGCGGGGGCGACCGTCTGCTCGAGGTCGGCTGCGGCTCCGGCGCGCTCTCCGTCGCCCTGCTTCACTGGTTGCCAGACGTGAGTAACCGCTGACCTAACCTGTCAGTCGCCGGTCCCATGCAGGGGTGATCGGTGGACAGTCTGTCTAGGTCGGCGCAGGACTGCCTTCCGTCAGCTATGTGGTGATGGCCGAGGACTGGGTGCAGGTCCCAGTCTTGAATCGCGTTTTACCTTGATGCACGGTTGAGTATGCTGAGTGTTTATCGGTCGACCTATCCAGGTGTGGACCGCACCTGCTGTCGCGCAGCATGGTGATGGCGACGCTGGGGAGTGGTGGGGAAGGCGAGCAATCTGCGTGCCGCGTTCAGCGAAACCTATCATACACCTTGCAAACTGTAGCTTGTCGCCGCTACCGCCAGGTGTCAGCGGTGGCAGTAGACCAGTCGGCCGATGCGTGCCGCCTGACGGAGGAGAACGCGGCTCGGTTGGGCGTCGAGGACCGGCTGCGGGTGTATAACGCCACGCTGACCGAGGACGGCCTGCCTGGCGAGCACCGCCAGCTGTACGACCTGGTCGTCAGCAACCCGCCCTACCTGACGACCGCGGAGCTGCGCCGGCTGCAGCCCGAGATACTACTGTGAGCAGCCGCGCTAATTGGGGGCGCTCACTGATTGACCGATGCGCGTGTACGGGCCGGATGGGATCCAGGCTAAAGCTTCCTTTCCTTTTTTCTCATCTCCGTTTAGGGGTAATTGACACGAATATGTGCGTCTCGAAAGATACTTCATAAATGAGAATGTTGTTTGGTTTTCAAAATGAAGAAGGCGAATGCAATTTGATGCATAAATGCGTAACCTACTTCCTCCCAAGATGAATAGTTAACTAATTGAGCGATTCATATAAAGAGCGCTGTCTACCGGCCTCTGGCCTCTCACATCGTAGAAATGCAGAACAATGCAGAGGTATTGTAATGTTCTGTGTAGCATTTTGAGAGTGCAGAGTTGGCCTGGAGTTCAGGGGCATGAGCCTGTGGATTCCTAATTATTCGGATCTTGTGGAGAAAGTTATGGATTACCGTACGTACAGATTGTGGGTAGTGACCAAGCCGAGTCCAGCTCACGCTTTGAGTATGTGATCGGACTTACATCTATCCAAGGTCACACGTGAAATTGAGTTGATTCGTATTCAATGTATCGCGGTCAGTCACGGACCCCGCGGGAAGGTTAAGTCCCGTCGGACGACGGAGCTGATGCGAATAGTTTATACAAATGTTCTTGTTTGTGTGACAGATGCACGTGTACTGGCTCGTTGTAAGTCAGGTGACCCACAGAGAAGTACGTCAGTCGTGTGTGGTTCTCAAGATGAAAGCTGCGGGATAGGTGCGCAGTATCGGGCCACATGGCATTCCCTCACCTCCCGCAGTTTGAGAGCGACACGCTATGGCTCACAAGCCTGTGCACTACTGCAACTCTTGCGCATCTTGATCCCTCCAGCCCATCCGTCAGTAAAAGACGGATATTTCGGTCTGTTGCTGGCCATCTTGAGAAGTGTGCCGCTCGCTGTAGTCGTGTTGCGTTTGTCCGCTGTTTGTGAGCGGCCGGAACTCCCGCCGTCCCTCCAGAGTCCTGCCAGCGCGGCTGAATCCCACCCAGTCCCGCCAGCTGGCGACTGCCGCCCCGCAGGCCGGGGGGCCGCGTGACCCACGCCGCTGACTGGCACCGCATCGCAGGTACGAGGACCGGGCGGCGCTGGATGGCGGGCCGGACGGGCTGCGCGTGACACGCCGCCTGCTGCGCCACGCACCGGGCTGGCTGCGCCCCGGCGGCCGCCTCCTGCTGGAGCTGGACCCCCGCAGCCGGCGCGGCTCGGCGGGCTGCTGGCCGACTCCGGCAGCCCGCTCCACTACGACCACACGCACTCGACTACGCCGGCCGGCAGCGGTTCGCCGAGCTGTGCCTGCCGCCGTAGCCGGCTGCCGGCGGGGCGCGCGGAGCTGGCGCCGGCACACCCGTCTGTGGGAACTGTCGTCCGTCAGCAAACCAGCTGTGGTGACTGTGGGCCGTCGGCAGACCTGATGTGGGGACTGTGGTCCGTCGGCAAACCAGCTGTGGTGACTGTGGTCCGTCGGCAGATCATCTGTGGGACTGTAGTCTGTCGGCAAACCAGCTGTGGGACTGTGGTCCGTCGGCAGACCTCTGTGGGGACTGTGGTCTCTCAGGAGACGGGCGGTGGGTTGTGAGTTGTGGTGCTGCGGTTTGGGTGGACAATACATCGCCAGGAGTGCTGTGGATGTTTCCTTGAGATGTAGAAAAGGATGTGGTCGTGGCTTTCTAGGACGCGTGAACCAAGGAAACTGTGGATTGAGTTGTAGACGTTGTTCTGAAAAAGTGGGAAGGCATTTCATTTACTTCAACCGCGCTTGGAACGCATAGTCTGGACTGCTGTCGGTTTTATGCTGTTCGCTGTGTTTTCACTATCAGCGCATTATGACCAACATATTTTGTACTCCTTGTCATGGCAATCTGACCGAAGGAGTCAGTTTCAGTAACACTTTTACCGAGGTTATTGCAAACTAGTCACATCCTTGATCCATGTTTATCTGTGTGCATCGTTCTTTCGGACTTCGGGCATATGAAAGCATGCATCACAAATGACAGTGTGACGGAAGGATTGCTAGCAACCGAATCACCAAATTTGGCCCATTTGATTCCGAGTTGCACAATTTTCATCGCTTTGTTTGTATTTTAACTGCTTTAACTGGAATAAAAGCCAAAGCAGTCACTGGCAGATGCATGATTTCGTGTTTTGAGGTTGATAAATTGAATAAACAGCGAATTAATATCTTGCAAGCAATAAACCGTCGGCGTTATTCACTTTACAAAGGTTCAGTGGAATCTTTCTTAATCGGTAGCGTACACGGGTTTCACCAGAACTTTCTAAGCCGCACAGAGATATCGGCGAAAGAAGGTTGGCTTAATGACTGGATTAACATACTCAGTGAACTTGGATCCTGGATTCAATAGGTTAAAATTTGTATTAACATAGCTAACACATTTTCACGGTGAGCGGCCAATGTTAATTCAGAGGTGAGTTCTGAAAAATAATACATAACATAGTTCTGATCACCGCGGGCGTAGGAACAGGCCGGCCAGAGGGGCCGTGCCCCCCCCCCCCCCTCCCCCGATTCGAAAAGTGGGGGGCCAGCAATGTTAACTGCCCTCCCCCCCCCCCACTTTTCAGATTAAGGTTGCATTTGGCTTACCTTTGCAACACATTAAACACGCATGCCGATTTACGTAGTTCACCAGCCATCTCTCTTAAGACGTGTCGTCTTCTTCGTTTGCTCACTGGCCATCGCTCAGTTTTACAGCCACGAGGCCGACGCCCCACGGTCTGGAGACTGCAACGCAGGGCGTCGAGGCTGTTGCTGCCGACTTATGAACGGTCATGTTCAAGGCCATATTACGCAGCTTTCTAATCAGTAATCAGCTCTGTCAGGACCTTGAGCAGCTTAAGACAAACATGGGTTGGCCATGTTAATACAAATTGGGAACCCCATTTTATTTATAATCTACGGTCAGGGAGAACTCAATATATATGAACACAGAAAAACACGGAACTGGAGCCTTTGTGACAATTATTGTACTACCTTCGGTGAACAGGGATGTGGTTACGTCAATGAGGGTTCTGTGCTGATCCGGGGCTAAACGCGCGGGTCAGAAGGCCTCCCGTGTCGGGATGGGAACGATGTGAGTTTATATATCCTAATGGCCTCCGGATCGACCAAAGATCCCACCCGTGTCACCAGGATGATAGCCAGAAGACACTCAGCGAAGGGACGGAATGACCCTTCAGCACTTGACCAGAAACGGTAATGTACCCCTGATTTTCTACTCGAGAGGACCCTGCCCGAAAGGAAATAAGGGGTCTCATTGTTGAGCAGAGTGGGGGGTCTCATTATTGTTGAAAAGGCGGCTCGAAATGGGCTTAAAAACGAGCAGGGTCTTGTCATGTTTGCTTGAGAAAGTTTATTTTTCAGAATGTATTATTGAAACAAATTACATCAAGAGGCTTGAACATGCCGGCCCGCAACCGAGACCAAGGATGATCTGGGCTGCAACTTCCGTAAAACCGAAAAGTTTCGGCAACTGCAAGTGCCACCAGACGGCGGGCGCCGTGTTAATCTGTCTTCAGAATAGATGAATAGCTGCAAAAACACGAAAAAAGAGATGCTACCTTTACTCGTCCAGTTCAATCACCATAATCCAGCTCCACTCGCAGTGCTTTAAGGGTCATCCGTTCTTTTCGTTAGTCTAAAAATTGCACACGTGAAATATGAGCCCAGGCTGTCCTCCTAAATGAAAGACTCGATGTCCTGAAGCGTTCAAGGATGATTTTTCAGAAGGGTCGTTGTTTTCATCCATCCGTTGGCCACAATTTAACACTAGCTACTGGGCCGACACTACGCCGGCTACGGAGACTGCAACGCCTGGGGTCGAGGCTTGTGTTTCTAAGATTTTCGAGTGCGTATCCTCAAAATTATGTCACATAACTTATCTTACTATTCGATTAAAGTGGTTAAAGGTAACATTTCAAAAGCGTCACCATTTTCGTCCACCGGTGGGCCACGGCTAAGAATTAGCTACTGGGCTAACGCTCAGCGGACTATGGAGGCTGCAACGCCAGGCGTCGAGGTTTTTGTTGCTAAGATTTGCGGGCACGCATGTTAAAGAAACACATCACATGAATTGTATCACTAATCTATTCTGACTGAAACGTGCATATTTTCAGACAAAGATGGCTTGGCCATGTTTATACACGTTGTTGACCACTCGATCTGGAATCATCTTCAATTTTGGATCAAATCATCATAAATTTTCATCTTCAAATTTGGATCAAACATACCGATCTACAGTCTACATTTGCGATGCCCTCAACGTCTGCAGATTCCAGATAAAAATCTGACAAATCCTCTGAATTCTATCGGCTTAGAAAAGTCAACCAACCATTAGATTAAGAGCGCCGGTGGTTTATTCCATGCAGTAGATCAACGTCTGATTTCTGTAGTTTGTTGACCTCAAAATACAAGCAGAATTGAGCTCACGGTAGCTCCTGGTTTCCGTCTTGGTCACAAGGTAAAAATAACAATAAAACGAAGAAAACCGTGTCGCTTGTTAACAAGTAAGCTATAACCGGGATGTTTGGGGGATCACCACAAGATGGGCTTTTGTCGACCTTGTGCTCCCCCTTGGCAAGGTCCTGGCCACGCCTCTGCCTACACACAAAAGCAGATCAAGTCATATACGTTGCATGATGGGCATTGAAGTGTCCGTTGGGCCAGTTCATACCTAAGCCAGACAGCTTCCCGGATGCTATTTTTCTGCGATGATGTGGGGTGTAAGGGGAGATCATTCGGAAAAAGATGCTGTTGCAGGTGTCCAACACATGTTTCATACACCATGCAGTAGCAACGCTGATCCAAAAGTATGCAACAAAGCAGCCATACGATCAGTTCGCAGTCAGTCATGCGGGAGCATTCGGGCCAGGGCAGTGGCCACCGACGGCGGACAGGAGTAGGGCCCAGATAAGGAACATGTGACAGATGGGTATTATTATGTGGCTTGGTCCCTAAGATAGAATCTCCAGTCTTTGGTTTTTGTCACATATTTCTGGCATTTTCAAGCTCCCGAATTTGTGTCCGCCTAAAATGCTGCTCCAAGTCTCTTGAAAAGCAACCAGCGAAATGAAGGCGCATGAAAAAAATCTGTCGGCACTGTGAGCCATCGATCCACTTTAAAAATTCTTACCAGCCTATCCAGGCCGATTTTGGCACCTACACGGCGGACGCATGTGCTTCCTCAATGACCCAAAATCCTACCCGTGGAAGTCCGCCTCCCCAGGAAAAACAGTTTTAAAATGGTGACGAATAATTTTGGGAAGCTGGATAACCTTATTTGCAAGGACAGATAAGTCGAA